GGCTTTTACAAAGAGAAGTTTATTCTCTCACAGTCTTGCAAGCTAGTCTGAATTCAGGGTGCAAGCTCTGGGGGATCTCTTTCATTTCTGGGGGAAGGTCCTTGTCATCAATTTTCCCCAGTCGAGGACCTTCTTGGCACCAGGCCCTTGGGTCCAAAGGTTGCACTTTCTCCTGATTCTTGTTTCATGGTGGTATGAGGTCCCTGTGTCTCTCTGCTCATTTCTTTCTTTTATATCTCAAAAGAGATTGACTTAAGACACAACCTAATCTTGTAGATTGAGTCCTGCCTCATTAACATAACTGCTGCTAATTCTGCCTCATTAACATCATAGAGGTAGCAATTACAACACATGGGAAAATCACATCAGATGACAAAATGGTGGACAGTCACACAATACTGGGAATCATGGCCTAACCAAGTTGACACATATTTTGGGGGATCACAATTCAATCCATGACAACATCTCTGGATCCATTTTCAGTCTTGTAGCTTTCTTTTATTTTTTGCTAATTCTTCATCTGGTTTGGTATCTGGGTGATGTTGTCTTGTGTCTTAATCTCAGGTTATGGTTTGACATTGTTGGTTCTCTATCTGAAGGACTCCCTTTGGTATTTCTTGTAAGGTTGGTCCAGTTTTTATAAATTCCCTTAATTTCTGTTTATCTGGAAATGTCCTAGTTTTGCCATCATATTTGAAAGACAATTTTCCTGGATATATAATTCTTGGTTGGCAATTTTTTTATTTCAGGATTTTATATATGTCATCCCATTGCCTTCTTGCCTGCATGACTTCTGTTGAGAAGTCAGAGCTTTGTCCTATTGGTTACCCTTTGTAGGTAACGTTTCATTTTTCCTGAGGTGCTCTAGGGATTCTTTCTGTCTTTAGTTTTGGAAAGCTTCTTTATGATATGTCTTGGTGATTTTCTTTTGGAATCTTTCCTATATGGGGTTTGTTGGGCTTCTTGGATGGGTATCTTCTCATCTGTCATGATATTAGGGAAGTTTTCTGCCAGCAAACCGTCAAAAATTCTGTTTTTTTTTTTTTTTGTGTGTGTGTGTGTGTGTGTCCTCCTGTTCTGGAATTCCAATCATGCATAAATTATTCCTCTTTATACTGCCCCACATAACTCTTAGACTTTATTTTTCTTCATTCTTTTTTCTGATTGTCCCTCAAACAGATTAGTATCAAGGGATTTGTCCTCTGTTACGCTAATTCTTTCTTCCATTGATTCAATTATACTTCTGTTTCCTTCCATTATCTATTTCTGATATTTTATTGTTAACCTTCTGGATTTCTAGTTGCTGTTTTTGCATAGTTCCTAATCGTCTATTTTGTTGTTTTATTCTTGTATTGTTTTCCTGAAGTTTCCTAGCGTTTTGTCTGTGTTGTGCTTGATCTCTTTCTTGATGTCTTTGAGGATCCTATATATAAGCCTTTTGAGTTCCTTATCAGGTAGTTGCATTAGCAAATCTTCCTCTGGAAGGTTTTCTGCCCCTTTATTTTGGTGACTTGCTTGAGCCATCTTTTCCTGTTTCTTTATATGATTTGATATTGTTTGCTTGCTTGACTCCAGGTGTATCTACACAGTTTCTCTTTCTCCTATTGGGAGTTCTGTGATGTTGTCTTCCTGTACTCTTCAGCCAGGATCACTGCTGTCTTTGTCTCAAGATGTCCACGCTGTGCTGGTCCAGCTGGCAGGGCACATCCACCCCATTTCACCTCCTCATTCACTGTTCAGTTTCTTCTTCCAGTTGTTGTTTGATCTGATTCTTTATCCTTTCTTTTGATGCTCAGGGTTCCAGGATTGTCATCCGTATCTGTTTCACTTTGTTTCTTGGGTCTTTGCTGTAGAGAGACTGCATGGTGCATCTGTCTAGGCCGCCATGTTGGCTCTTCCTCCAGGATATAATATATATTTTAATCTTATATGCTTTGATTCATTCAGTAGATATTTATTGACTCCCTGTTTCCAGTATATTCAAAACACTGTTTTAGTTACTAGATTATAGACCTTACATTCTCCCAAGAGGAAAAGGAGCACAAACAAACATATCAACCAAACAAATCAAACAGTTACTTGATAAACAAATAAAATAATTATGGAACATAGAATCTTCTATAAAAGAGATACACAAGGTGAAATGATGGAGAATGCAGGGGTTGAAGATGATAGAGATGTACTTTAGAGAAAGTGATCAAGGAAGACCTTTCTGAGATGACATTTGAGCTCATACCTGAATGAAGAGTTAAACTACAGGCATGAGCAGAGGACAGGATGAGCTAAGTCACAAAAGAAGAACTGAAAATGGCTAACATAATGGGAAAGAAAAAATCTACCTCCCTTACCACCAAAAAAATATAAATGAAACCTATAGCATGCTATTGAACTAGAAGAAAATACAATGAAAGATCAACTTTGGTTATCCTTGGGTAGTGGAATGTTGCATGATTTTTATGTGCATCTATTTTCCTTATATCATTTCTAAATTTTCCAATGTGAATATGCTTTACTCTTATAAAAATTTTAAGCAATTTTTAAGTTGATGATACTAACATGTTTAAGAGGATTTCTGAAACAAAGTCCAACATTTGAGTATCTACTATGTGCCTGGCACTGTTTGATGCACTAGAAGAGACCATGGGAACAAGACAGACAAAGCTTCTCCACTCATGTGACTTATATTCTAAAGTGGGAGTATATAGATAATAAATGAGTCAATAACAACAACAAAAATCATTTCAGACAGTGCTAAAGGATATGATGAAAATAGGGTAGTGGGTTAGAGAGTGACCTAGGGTGTGTCTTAGGCTGGGTTCTCTAGAGAAGCAAAACCAATAAAGCATATAAATATATATAGAGAGAGATTTATATCAAGGAAATGGCTCACACGATTGTAGAGGCTGGAACATCCCAAGTCCGTGGACCAGGGTAGAAGTTTCTCCTGATTCACGAAGCTGCAGGTGCTGGCGAACCCAAGATCGGCAGGTCGGAGAACAGGACTCTTGCTCACAGGCTGTGAAGATCGATGAATCCCAGGATCAGCATGCAAGACTGCAAGGCTTCTCCTGATTCACGTAGAGGTGAACCCAAGATCAGCAGGTCAGAGAGCAGGACTCTTGCTCACAGGCTGTGAAGATCAACGAATCCCAAGATCAGCAGGTAAGCTGCTAGCTCAAGTCCCAAGAACCAGAGGTCAGACAAACAGGAGCCAGCTGCGGGACCCAGAGCAGGCAAAAGCCAGAATGTCCAAATGTATTTGGATGCAGGCTCCACGCCCAAGGAAACTCCCTTTCAACTGATTGGCTACTCACAGCAGATCCCATCATGGGAGTGATCACATATAAACACTGAGAATCATGGCCAGCCAAGTTGACACACAATCTTAACCATGACTTTTGCTATGATATGATGGGGTGACTATGTTTTACACGTGGCAAGGACATGAATTTTGGGGGGCCAAAGGGTAGAGTGTCATGGATTGAATTGTGTCCCCCAGAAATATGTGTCAACTTGGTTAGGCCATGATTCCCAGTATTGTGTGGTTGTCCTCCATTTTGTGATTGATATAATATTCCTCTATGTTGTAAATCCTGTGGTTAATGAGGCAAGATTGGATTATGTTGAAGAGGATCAAGGTGGGATGTAACACCCTTGCTCAGGTCACATCGCTGATCCCTTGTAAAGGGAGTTACCCTGGGGTGTGGCCTGCACCACCTTTTATCTTACAAGAGATGAAAGGAAAGCAAGCAGAGAGGGTGACCTCGAACCACCAAGAAAGCAGCGCCGGGAACAGATTTGGGAGAAGCTCCTAGTCCAGGGGAAGATTGATGACAAGGACCTTCCTCCAGAGCCGACAGAGAAAGCCTTCCCCTGGAGCTGACGCCCTGAATTTGGACTTCTAGCCTACTAGACTGTGAGAGAATAAGTTTCTCTTTGATAAAGCCATCCACTTGTGGTATTTCTGTTATAGCAGCACTGGATGACTACGACAGGGTGGAAAAGGGATCTATTTTAGATAGGGGGTCAGGGAAGGCCTTTCTAAGGTGTCATCTGAGCTGGAGACTTGAGTGATGTGAAGGAGCTGACCGTATGAATATCTGGGGATAGTGCATTTTAGGCAGAACCAACAGTAAGTAAAGCAAATCATGAAGCAGGAACAAGCTTGATAGGTCCAAGGAACAGAAGGAAGACCACTGTAGCTGGGACTTAGAAAATGAGGGAGTAAGTGGTACAAAATCAGTTTAGAGGCATAGGCCAGGACAGCTCATATAGAGCCTGGTGGTAAGCAGTGGTAAGGACTTTGGACTTTAGTCTAATTGAGAATCTATTGGAGGGTTTGAAGCAGGGGAGTAATATCATCTGCTTTGTTTTAATTAATATGCTTAGTATGGTGCATTTTGCTTTTTACATATTAGTAAGCCAGACAGCCTAGTGGTTAAGACCAGGCGTGAGCTTTGAGGCTAGACTGCCTAGGTTCAGATGCTGGCTTTACCACTTACTGTGTTAACTTGAAAAAGTTATTCTACCTCTCTCTGCTTCAGTTTCCCTATCAGTAAAATGACAATACTGACAGTAACTACCTAATAGGGTTGCTACAAGGATTAAAATAATAAATTAGATCATAGCACATAGTAAGCACTATATAATGTTGCTTTGTAAGCTAGGTAGTTAATAGTGATTAGTTCTGGGAAGTGTGATTAAGAAAATGTAATGTGGGAGACCTTTGCTTTCACCTTACATCCTTCTGTATAGTTTGACTTTTAAAATATGTTAGTCATGCATTATAAATAATTTAAAAAATTAAAGAAAAAATCTTTGGAGTATGATTTCAAATTTGCTGTTTAAAAAGAAAATCACAGCTCAATTTTGATATTTTGATACTGTTTTTTGTTTGTTTTTTAATGGGAGAGGAGGGCCCTAAAAATACAGTGGTATCTTTTTTATTTTCTTCTTTTCTAATAAACGTAGTACATAACTTGTCATTCTTTTTTACACAGATGTATTTAGGGATTTGGGATAATCTGCCAGGTGTTGTGAAATGTCAAATGGAACAAGCACTTCATCTTGATTTTGGAACTGAATTGGAACCAAGAAAAGAAATAGTTCTATTTGATAAGCCAACTAGGGGAACTACTGTACAGAAATTCAAAGAAATGGTCTACAGTCTCTTTAAAGTAAGTATATGCAAGTCCAGGAGCTCCGGCAGCACAGTGGTTAAGAGCTGGACTGCTAACCAAAAGGTCAGCAGTTTGAATCCACCAGCCACTCCTTAGAAACCCTATAGGGCAGTTCTACTCTGTCCTCTAGAGTCGCTATGAGTCTTTTTTTCGTTTTATTTATAATAGCTAGAAATGTCCAGATTTGAGAGGGGAGATACTTAACTATAGTTGGACTGCTGCATAGTTTCATATTGTAACTGATACCCATCAAAAGGAAAAATGAAAACTAGTACATCCTGATTGCAAATTATATTTAAAAATTTAATACTCATATAGACAAAGATTAAATAGAAATAGTTTGGAGAAGAATTTATTTTTTCTCAGTTTTGATTGCTTTTATTTTCACTCAAAATCTTTCTTTTCTTTGGCCATTATACAGACTATTTTATCCCAGAAAATCTTAACAGGGAAATATGTTTTAATCTCCATTACTGGAACAATATAACTTGAACAAAATCTGATGTAAACTACAAAATAGGAGAAAATAATTTTCAATTGGCTTTTGTTATTAATGACTTTGGATATGAGTATATTCCACTGCAATTTTGCAGGTAAATGTATAAATAGAACAAGGAATAATTACTTAGTGCCTTTGTTAACTGTAGTTTATCTAAAGGGTATGTGAGGGCTAGGGTAGTTGGGGTAGCCATTTAATAAACAAATGTATTTAGCAAAGTGGACTTTACTGCAGTTACATAAATCATGGTTCTAATTACATAGGAAGCATCACAAATATTTGGAGATGTAACATACTAAGTTCCTTTGGGGGAATCATAGCAAGATTATCAGCATGGTAATAATCCTCATAAAGGAACTTAGTGTTACAAGATTTTTTCTTCATTTCTAATGTATAATTAGTCAAATTTTTATCTTTTATTAGGCTAAGTTGGGTGATCAAGGAAACCTCTCTGAACTGGTTAATCTCGTCTTGACGGTGGCTGATGGAGACAAAGATGGCCAGGTTTCCTTGGGAGAAGCAAAATCAGCATGGGCACTTCTTCAATTAAATGAGTTTCTTCTCATGGTGATACTTCAAGATAAAGAACATACCCCCAAATTAATGGGATTCTGTGGTGATCTCTATGTAATGGAAAGCGTTGAATATACCTCTCTTTATGGAATAAGCCTTCCATGGGTCATCGAACTTTTTATTCCATCTGGATTCAGGAGAAGCATGGATCAGTTGTTCACACCGTCATGGCCTAGAAAGGCTAAAATAGCCATAGGACTTCTAGAATTTGTGGAAGACGTTTTCCACGGCCCATATGGAAACTTCCTCATGTGCGATACTAGTGCCAAAAACTTAGGATATAATGATAAGTATGATCTGAAAATGGTGGACATGAGAAAAATCGTGCCAGAGGCAAACCTGAAAGAACTTATTAAGGACCGTCACTGTGAGACTGATTTGGACTGTGTCTATGGCACGGATTGTAGAACTAGCTGTGATCAGAGTACCATGAAGTGTACTTCCGAAGTGATACAACCAAACTTGGCAAAAGCCTGTCAGCTACTCAAAGACTACCTGCTGCGTGGTGCTCCAAGTGAAATTCGTGAAGAATTAGAAAAGCAGCTTTATTCTTGTATTGCTCTCAAAGTCACAGCAAGTCAAATGGAAATGGAACATTCGTTGATACTAAATAACCTAAAAACATTACTGTGGAAGAAAATTTCCTATACAAATGACTCTTAGTTCAGTTGGACATTGTTACCATTATAGGAAACTTCTAAAAAAAAACTTTGAGCATTTTTTAGAATGGCTTCTGATTCAGAGTTCCCTGCCAGTTCCACGAAACTCCTTTCCTCTGGGCTTAGTGAAGCCACCAAGTTAAAATATGGTTACTCACTGGCAGGTGTAGGATCAACAGGTCCAAAGGATTTCATTCCTGCCCTTTTTTTTTTTTAAGATGCTGTTACATTTCTCAGTGCATTCACTGTGTAACTAAAAAAAAAAAAAAAAATGCTGTGAAAAATCCTCACTCCATAAACATCAAGTTTGAGTATTGTGTAGATTTATAATTGTTAGCCAAAATACCATTGATGGAAACATTGCATTGAAGCTGCTGTTTAAAAAACAATTTATACATAAATTTACTAATGTCTTAGCATGGTAAAGTTTGCACATTAACAGAAATTAAGACTGCAAAGCAGGTAAATTACCTTTTTAAAACATGTTGGGTTAATAGCATGGTTTGTTATATTAGACAAACATTTTTAACTCATTTAGACATCAGTTATCTGTGGTTTCAGGATTTTTCCCTAAGAGGCTCTTTTAACAGAGCCTCTTGTAATTCAAAATCTTTTAGGGGAGTATTCTACTTGGCAATATGTAAATGCCAATTTTATGGCCCAAACTGGGTGAGCTTTCATGTCATTCTAAAGAAATTCATAGGGCCCATCTTAGTACAAGTACCAACCAGCCAACTGAGCCCTTCAAAACTGAAGGGCATAGACCCAATCCAGACCGTCGTATCCTCAATTTGAACTAAGGGGGAAGTCAGATTTCTATGAAATAATCACAGAATTTATTTTAATAAATATTTTCCATTTCCAAACAGTATTTCTTAATGGCCAGAGGGCTATTTAAGAGGCATGTAAATTTAAGGAACATTTTTTCCATGTGAACTCGATATAAAAAGGTTAATATTTGCTCCTCACTCATGTATTTTTATATGTTTACTCAGATCTGGCATGCAGCTTCCAACGTCTCCACAAAAATCAAACACCTTTTGGAGAAGAGACCCAGCAGTTTCTGTTCAAAGGTTTCACATGGTTAAAGTGAATGTGTTAAAGCTATATGTCCTTCACTGGACATTGGACAGCTTTCTGTAAAGAAAAATTAAAGCCAGGTGTTAACACCAGTTGTTTAATATTATATACTCTGAAGGTACTTCTTCTTCCCACTAATCATCTGGTTACAATAAATGGATGGAAGAATTATTTCTTAGTGATGGTTGGTCTGTTGCTTGCCAGACTTTAGGGAGAGCTGTACATCTTAAACCTATATTTTGAAGGATGGTGACTCCTGTCAGGGAGAACAGAAGCCCAAGTAATAGATGTGAACTTCGTTGGAGTCACAGTCAGCATGCAGACAAACTTTTCCTGGAAAAAGCTATATTTGTGTCTTGGAGAAAATAACTGCCAATTCCTCTGCTTTTATACTCCAGGGTATTTCCTACAGTTTCATAAAAAAGTTAAAGAGCTTAACACAGATGTAGCTGGTTGGTCAATAAGTTTATTGTCTTTATCTCAAAACTCTTCATAGAAAATTGTGGTGTGGTTTGGCTTAGCTCTCAGCAGCCCGCCCCTGAGCTCTGAAGAAGCTTGCCTTCTTCTGAGCTACCCGATCCTTCTTCTGGGCAAGAGACATTTTGGGACGATTCCACCTACAAAACAAAGGAATATATATATTTTTAAATCATAGCCAAAGAAGATAAAGAATGTTTAATTTTAATTGCAAAAAGACGAAGACTGTAATCAGATGGAGGTGAATAATCCAACACATGTATTTCTCAAACCCCAACTTCCTGTGATGTGCTATTATCACACACAGAGCCAAGAATCAAAGTGCAATGTCAGTGCAATGCTTACATGCCCATTAAGTGTTACTTTTGAAATACCAAACCATGAAAACCAACAGAAACGAACTCTTTTCTTTAGGTAGCCTCCCCAAAGCAGTTACTGGTAGTTATACTGTATTAGGATAGAATGGGCCACCTCAGTAGCTCCTGAGGCTAATCATTTCTATCACCACAATTACTTTAGCAAACCTGGTTCCCCTTGCTTCTGCAACATCATGCAGAGCTAGTGATCGGGTTTGCAAATCTTCACGGAGAATCTGACCCACCAGATGAAGGAGGCATTATGGGAACCACTCGCAATCCCTTCCCTCTTGGAAAGATTGTAATAGTAAGACACATACCTTTTCTTTTTAACATCTTTCTTAGGCTTCTTCTCATAAACTGGATTCTCTCGTATAGCAGCATGTGCTTTCTTATACATCTCCTCCATCTGAAACAAAAGAAATCAAACAGTACTTGGTTTCATTTCACATGCCCTAAATGATGTTGTCAGTTGCATCTATATTCTACTACTTTCTCTATTTTGTCCTTCTAAGGTAGATTCTTAAAAGGAACAAGACTAAGTCAAGGTTGGTTACCTGCTTAAATTTCAAAAGGTAACCTACCTTTTCCTAATATATTCTCAATTTTTTCCTTAGGCAATGGTTTTAATACATCAACTGACACTATTTGCAAAACTCAACTCAATCTTATTCAAGAAAAATTTGCACATTATGTCAAGAATTCAGCCATACTTTAGGGCAAACTGATTTCTGCAGGAAAACACATGACATTTTAAGTATTTTCTGACTGTAATATTGTCAAGAGAAAAACAAAGCATTTAAGATCAAGAGTATATGGGGCCAATACAGTCACAACACTGACGTAATTTAGTAGTACTGGTTACTGACATTGGGGTTTCAACAAGCAATTGCTAAGTTCTTTTCTGTCCTCCCTCATTCTCCAGATTCACATTTTACGAAAATTTCTACCCGATATATCTTTTGAAACTATTTCTAATACTGCATACCAGTGACCTCGTACATCTTCTACCAGTTACTAGTATCTGGCAATATCAGGCCTCTCCGGAACCAGAATGAGATTTGAATACTCTTAGAAAACCCAGAAAGGTTATCTGATTAGCTATCTTATTGGGTAATTTTATTCTAAAACTCATCAAAAGACACTGTTGCAACTAACTTGTTTCAATTAATACTCCCAAATGACTGATGATCTTGTAAAAGATCAAGTCATGCAAAGCAGCTTTATAAGATGCCTAAGTGCTCATTATCAAGATCTAACAATTATTTTTTACCAGTTGCCTTTGAGTTGATCCTGACTTATGGTGACCTCATGTGCATCAAAGTAGAACTGTGCTCCACAGGGTTTTTAATGGTTGACTTTTTGGAAGTAGATCTCCAGGCCTTTCTTCCAAGGTGCCTCTGGGCAGAACTGAACCACCAGTCTTTTGGTTAGCCATTTAAGCCACCTGGGGGCTCCTAAACAATTACAGCTCCCTAAAGAATACATCACGGTGACCCCATGTGTTAAACAGAGTAGAAACGAGCCCCATAGGGTTTTCTTGGCTGTAATCCTTATGGGAAGCAGATCACCAGGCCTTTCTTCCACAGTGCAGCTGGATGGCAAACCAACAACCTTTCAGTTAGTAGTCAAGTGCAAATCGCTTGCGCCACCCAGGGACCACACATGGGGTCACCATGAGTCAGAATCAACTTGATGGCAGAGATTGGAGTTTTTTGTTTTTAAAAAATATGCTGAGGGCAATGGTAGAATTCTAGCCCTCCATGCAAAGGAACTGGTTCAATTTCCAGCCAGTGTATCTTGAGCGAAGCCACCACTTATCTGGTCACTGGAGGTTTGTGTTGCTATTATGTTGAAAAGATTTCAATGTAGCTTCCAGACTAAGACAGACTAGGAAGAAAGGCCTGGTGATTTACTTCTGAAAAACAAACCAATAAAAACCCTGTGGATCACTATGGTTGATCCCATTGTACATGGGGGTTGCCCTGAGTCAGGGCCAACTTCAAAGGCAGTTTAACAACAGCAAAGAGTATGTTAAGGTAATCTAGGTCTCTAAAGGTACTCATAGAAACAGTGTAGCAGGCAAAAATAATGTAAAAATTTGAGCGCCAACTACCTAAATCCTTTCTGAGAAAGTTAATCTGTCTACTTCTTAGCACTCTGTATTATAGCTGTTGCTGTATTTAACAAACCACCCAATGACTTCAAATGTATTAGTTTAACAAATCTAAGCAGTCCAGTTCCTACCTTCCAAGGAATCAGACAAGTAGGAAATACAACCATATATGGAGATAACACCATGAGTTTAGGTAAAGATTACTTCCTGTTGGAGACACCAGATGACTACAGGTGATTCTGGTAGGCACACATGAGGAAAGAGGCCACCGTAGATAAAATTAATAAGCTAGCTGAAGAAGTACATAGCCAAACAGCAGATGCTGAAGCATAGCGTGTATACAGGAAAGCACTAGGAAATAAAAATCTGAAAGCACAGACTGGGAGTTTAGAAATATTGAGCTAGTGTGACATGACAAGAGCAAGACGTGGCTTTGGAAGAAAAATTTAGCAGGCCAAGTAGAATCACAATCGAAAAGTAAAAGGCCCAAGCCAGGGTGGTATCAGTAATAATATATTAAGGAAGACTCATGTCAAACTTAGTGAGCATATCCTTTTTTGCTACATCTAATTTTGAAGCCTTTCCTATCTCAGAAACTCAAGCTATGTGTTTACTCAGCCCTAGACAGTATCTTAAACATACAAATGACAATTATCTTTTTCCAAGTTCAACTCAATTTTAAAGAAAAGACTTTCATAGTCAAAGCTGTGCCAAAATAGAAAACTACTATTATGCACTAACACAAAAGAACCTAACAATTACTTGATATACCATCTGTCAATTTATATACAAATTTAGCTATATGCAGAAAATCTAGAACACAGCACCAATCTGCTATGATGAAAGGAACCTCACCACCCCACAGCCTCAAAATTAATGTAGTTTAATAACTAGCACCTCGTATCAAGAAGAGTAGTTTATAACTATGACCAAAGGAATGACGTTTTAAAAAACGGGGGGCCTGGGTGGCACAGTGGTTAAGTGCTACGGCTGCCAACCAAAAGGCTGGCAGTTCAAATCCACCAGCCGCTCCTTGGAAACCCTATGGGGCAGCTCTACTCTGTCCTATAGGGTCACTATGAGTCGGAATCATTACCTATGATTAAACTAACACCAAATGCACAAAGCCACCCAAGGCTGCAGATGCCTGAAGCCTGCCATACTTCTAGAATCTAGAAGATTAGTAAAAGCTTGTTGACGAATCTAGTTTATTACTTATACTACCTTATCTGACTTGTTATTAACCTATTCTGGTCCAACATCCTAATTTCATATTCCAAATTAAAGATAGCTTATCTGAGTCTACCCATACCTACAAACATACCCATATATTCAACTTCCAACTAACCTGAAATAAACCTATATTTAAGGATGCACCCACCAAAAATTAGTAAACCTATTTCTACAAATCAACCCATAAAAGCATTTTTAGGTAAAATTTTTACCATGTCTGGAGTTACACTGTTCTTTATGTATTGAGAGAACTGTTTCTTATAAGCATCTTCATCTTCTTCCATTAGGTAACGCATATAATCTGCAACGTTCTGACCCATGATGTGTTTCCGATGTACTTCTGCGTTGAATTCCTTGCTTTCTGAATCATAACCAGGGAATCGTTTGGTACTAAAACAAAGTTTTTCATATTTTAGTATATATTGACAGAAATCAATTCACTAGTAGGAATTAATTTCATTCACTCTGTGTATCAGAGTAGCTGCCATCAGTCCCGTCTTGAAACAACTGCATCATATGCAATCAAAGGACCAACTACTGACTGCTCAGTTAGTGGGATATCATCATTCAGCAGCTAAAATCTCCAAATTCCAGAATAGAAAAGAAAATCACTTCCACAAACACTTTTTAAAATCATTCAGTAAACCAAGGCCTTCCTCCACTACAAAGTTGAGTTTTTCTGCGTATTAACATAGGAAGGGGTTTCAAAACTGCTCCACAAAATTCTAGAATTTCTCAGTGGTGCCCCAGGGTACATGGGAATAAGATGACAGCCAATAAAATTATCAAGTGTGTGTGCTCTTGGTATATTTGCATCTAATTTTTTTTAACAGTATGGAATTTACAAAGTACATTCATTAACTCAAGTACCAAAGGAACTACAAACTAAACAAGACTTTTAAAGCTTGGTCTTGTGATGAGCAAAACCCACTTGGCTTCCAAGAATGGTCAACAATCTTATTTCCAATCAAAACTTTAGAAATCTTTCATAAGCCTTTTTCTCAACTCTTTCTAACCAAAATTAAGTCAGATGCAAAATATAATGGTTTCAACTCCAGCTCTCTCACTTACTAGCTCCATGACCTGTTACCTCAGCCTCAGTCTCTTCATTTATAAAATAGTTTACAACTGGTTTCTACTCTGCCAGGTTCCCTTTGTGTAGTACCTAGCATACAGCAGGCATTCAATAATAGCTACAGTTACTTTAATTAATTCAGTAATCTCCACACTGAAAACAGGGAAGTGTGGGAGTCCAGGCACTGAGGCCTTGAATATTATATTACCTGTGCGGTATAGACAAGCCTCCATCCACAGCTCCCTTCAGAGCCCCAAAGACTTTATTCCCAGTGGTAGTTCTGGCAAGGCCTGCATCCAAATAGCATGTGAAGGCACCAGGCTGACCATCAATGCTTTCCACATTGTATTCATCTCCGGTTACCTCCACTTGGCCTTCATAGATTTTGTCCATGCCAAACCTATTGAGAAGCTATTAACAAAGAAGCCAGCCTGAATACCTGTCTGAATATATTCAAACAACTCTAAAATTAAAACATCTCGTCACAACTTATGACCTGTAACATCTGAGAAAAACTCCTTCTAATTCACCCATTCCACTTTTAAAGTTTATCAAATTTTAAATGCCACAAAAACAAATTTCAGACATTCAATTTCACCCACTTTAACTTTGTCTTAACCTTCTGAATCTTTTCTACATGTCCATACTTAATTTTTGAAGTAATCAAAACTTGAACATGCAATACTTAATCTGTTAGCTTAAGAGGTAACTTCCCACATTGAAACAGTCATACTTGGCCACGATAACTCAACATTAAATGTCATCACATGTACTTTTATTTAATATGAAATAAAATCCTAGAAGTAGGATCCTGGGCTGAAGGGAACATCTTTCATGGCTCTACTCCCCAATCACGTAAACGTGGGCCACTCCTGTACTGGAACACCGCCATCTAGCTATGGTTTCAAAAGTGACACCTTTGCACCAAGTTGCTCTCTTTCAGAATGACGCTATTTCCCACTCAAACATGTTTATAATCAGTGAAGACACGGGCCCCCAATACTGGCGCACAAGCTTGACAACTCCAGTGCAAAATAAGGTAATTGACAAAACAAAAATTAGGCAAAATCACATTTTCATCCCCTCTTTCTGCAGAATATAGCACATCTAGAAGTGCTGCCACCCCGAGGTGAAGATGATTAAAACAAGAATGAATTCCTCACCAGTGCCTCCCCGCAAAGTTTAAGACACTGCTTCTTAAACTTTAATGTGCACAAGTCACTTGGACACCCTATTAAAATATAGATTCTGAGGATCTGGAGTAGAGCCTCCACAATTATACCATTTCTAAAGTGTTCCCAGATGATACAGGGTCAGAAGATCTACACTTCTGAGTAGCAAGGATCTGTACTGTACAGTAAGGCAGCCACTAGCCACACGTGGCTATTCAAATTAAGTTAATGAAAATTAAAAAATCAGTTCTTTAGTAGCACTAGTCACATCTCAAGTGCTCAACAGCCACATGCGGCTAATGGCTACCCTTATCGGACAGAACAGATTACATGTTACACGTTTCCAACACTGGAGAAAATTCTATTGAACAGCACTAGGGAACATGTCTAGATTTATCCACAAGCAGAAAAGACAGGAAGACAACCACTTCTCCAGGTGAAGAAACGCACTGCCATCAATTCAAACCCTGTATTATAAAATCATCTTCCCTTCCAGTGCTTTGTATGCCACAGGAAAGAGTAGGCACGCCCCTGAAGCCACAGCTGAGGGTGTCTTATTCATGTACTAACACCTTGCAGACCATTCAAAGCAATGAGCTAACTCCAAAGTATATCAATTTAAGTGATCTTGTACATACCCTGCGGGCCAGCAGCAGACCAGTACAATAAGCGGCAGCATAATTTGTCAGGCCAACTTTCACACCATACTTTGGGAGTTCGTGAGCATAAGCTGCACAGACTATCATATCCCCTTCTATACGGGCATAAGCAATCTACAGTAAGAGAAAAATCAGGTTAGTAATCTGTGCTTTCACTGTTTCAGTATTTGTCCTAAGGATGGACTTATAAAAAGAAAAAAGATGGACACAGATCTATACCACTTAAAATTTCTTGTTATCTCCAGTCACCTCGAAAAATTTATGGCTTGGTCAACTGTAGTAGGCAGGTGTATGAGTCTGCCAAACGTCACAGTATGTAAGACTAAAATTACCAAGTAGATAGTAAATACTAAAACTTATTTGAGATTATACTATAGTTCCTTACTTTCAAATACAAAGACTATTAACTGGGTCAACTGGTAAGATAAAGATACACTTTTAAAAAAAGGAATTCCCAAATATTTCAAAAACATTTTTAATTAAGCATAATTTAAGTCCAACAAACGTTCCATTTAAAGAGCCCTGGTGGTGTAGTGGTTAAGCACTCGGCTGCGAATCAAAAGGTCAGTGGTTTCAACACACCAGCCACTCCCCGGGAGAAAGATGTGGCAGTGGCAGTCTGCTTACATAAAGATTAAAGCCTTGCAAACCCTATGGGCAGCTGTACTATCCTACAGTCGGAATCGACTCAACAGCAACAGGTTTTTAGGTTTCAATGTTTAGTTAGCTGACCCAGGTATGAAGACACTGCCTTATGCAAATTAGTATGTCCAGAAAACAGGTGTGCCTGCCACTTAGCGTTCAGCAAATCAACTATCAAAATGTTCCTTCGGTGTAAAAGCCCAGAAAACTAGCTTCCAGGAGCAAATTGGCACTTTCTGGAGGTATACAGTCATACATATGTATTAAAACCGGATTTCAAATAATAAGCAGGAACAAGAACCACCTTAGTCTCATTTAACCCTCACAACTACCTACCTATCTTTTCCACAAGCACAAAGCAAGAGTCAGGCTCTGCCCATGTACTCTACTGGAAACAGGATGGGCAAGAACCTTCCACTTGCCTCATACTCCCCCCAACCCCGTGTACACACAAAATAGTACAATACCCAGGGTTTCCCTAAGCCTCTTTCTCCCTAATTAGAAAAGGAATGGGCTCCAATTCTAGACTTACTAAAAGGAAAAGAACTATTCACTCACTCAACAAATGTTTTGAGTGCCAGGCACTAAACTAGATGATCCTTCTAACCCATACATCACGTGCTTGATTTCCCCCAAATACAACTTCTCCAGCATAGTGAATGGGGAGGTTGGAGCAGGTTAACCATCCACTGCTTGTGTCCAGAATACAACTTACCTGGCAAATGATATCTCTGTTGGTTACACGAACTATCATCCTGTATTTGGGTGTGTTGTACTTATTTTTATCCTGGATAACCAAGCGTTTGCGAGCATAGTAATCAGTTTTACCCTCTGAAAGAAAAAAATAATTACGTTAAGAAAGGCTACTCCACTGCAAAGCAGATGCTTATGTATCGTAAACATTATGAAAAACTGAGAATACCTCGTCGTCTTCTAAATTTTACTTGGTATCTCTTGAAGTAGGCCTTGTTCTTGACAACTTTAACAAACCCCTTTAAGAAAAAAAGAATGTTATTAAAACCTTGATAAATGTTTTAGCTTATGTTTTTGACATCTAAGTTAACCATGTAACCGAGTGAGTTAATCATCCAGACAACTGTCACTTTGTAGAATCCAGTGTTCCTCAAACCATCTGAGGGTAAAAGGACCACTTTTCTACTTTCAATCTGTCAGAGACTGGTAAGTTTCATAAAACACAGTAAAAAAAAACAATCACAGAGAAAACAGAATAAAAAAAGCATATAAAATACAGACCTCGACTTTTTATTAGGTTCAACAGACAAAAAATTACTGTCACACTGCTTTAAAGAGTTTTTAAAAACTTACTTGTACTTGTTCAGTAGAGGATCAACACCAATACGTGTGCTTCTGGTAAACACTGCTCTAGACAGCAGTCAGTCCTACCAAATGTCAGTTTACTGTCTTATTTCCAGAACCTAACCTCAAGGAAGCACACTCTTCCCTCACTTTTCACGTGCATTAAAAAAAAAGGTCTTACTACTTGCCACAATAGTCAACTGGAAAGAGTACATTCAGCGAATACTTCCGATTAAAACAGCACTGACTCTCAACAACTTTCGCCTAACCCCACCCCACCTTTGGGTCCCCACCCCAACAATCACGCAAAGTGGAGGCAGCGATGACTTGAGAAAAGGAGGCAGGAGACGCACTCCGAATTAAATGAGCTTCCTCTCGGGGCGCACAGATAACAAGACCTCATGTTTCACTGACGATTCTGGCATGAAAGCTAATTCCTCGACCTACCGACACAGCCTCTGTGAACTAAGACCCGCCGGCCCGGACGCTCTCCCGGAAAAGCCACGAAGCAGTCAGGGTCCGAGCCGGGTCCGAAGAATGGCAGCCCGCCTCCACACAGGTACCCCCCAGCCTTTAGCTAGTCCGAGGCTGAGCTGCAGTCTCCCCTGCCCGGCCACCAACCGATGCCTCTTTCTGGCGAGCCGACACTAAGCCCGCAGCTTGTCTACCAAACTCAACCCCCTGCCCTAATTTTCGATCCCCTTCTTCGCCAACCCTTCCCCCAAAGTGGCGGGCAGGCGGCAGCCATTAGGCCACGCTGGGAGCTGCGGCCCGACTATGGCAGAGTCGGCAATCTAATGCCATCCGGCCCCTGCGCCGCGCGAGACGGGCTCCAGGCTAGCGTTCCGGCAAGGAGTGGAAACACCCGTGCTTCCGAAGTTACAAGACCGAGGAGCCCACTCACCATCCTGCGGAACACGGACCGGCGTCCGCGGATCGCCACAGACCTGCAGGCCCAGCAGCTCTACGGGGGGGAAAAGGCCGAAACCCAAGCGCAGGCGCAGTATGTAGCACCTACGACCACGCCAGCGACGTGCGGAAGAGAGAAGGCTCCAGCCGCAAAGCGTGCGACGTGCTGTTCCCTGTTGGCGGGAGGGGGAAGTGCAGAACTTCCCATCGTGATCAACTCGCAAGGCTGCTCACCCCGGCTCCTGGCTGAGATTCCGACAAGGGGGTGGGGCGCGATGAGCAGAAGCAGGAGAATGACAAGAGACTTTCGCTTTCTGTGCTAGGGACTTTTTTCATAACGAGCATTTATTATTTTGTATACAGAGAAAGAAGTTCAAAAGTTAAATAGAATGAATTTGCTCTGGAGCCCTCTTGCCCTTTCCAGGAGCGTACCTCCAAGACGACTCACCCCGGTTCAGAGCGCACAGGGACGGCACCCCAGGAAGCCTCGTGTTGGAACCCCAAGCCTGGGTTAGCAGCCCCTCCTCTGCGCTTCCACAGCACCTTGTTACCCTCAGCCCACAAGGTTGCAAACTCCCTGAGGGCAGGCCTTGATGTCAGGCTCACCTTGGGATCCCCAGCACTTAGGACAGTGCTGACAAGTGTTAGTGCTGCATAGCTGGTGGCGCAGTGGTTAAGGGCTTGGCTGCTAACCTAAAGGTAGGCAGTTTGAATGCACCAGCTGCTCCTTGGAAACCATATGGGGCAGTTCTACTCTGTCCTATAAGGTCCTGCTGTGAGTGGGAATCCACTCCACGGCAACGGGTTTGGTTTTGGTTTGGGGTATTTGTTAAGTGGTAAGGAGCGACTGCTCTCTTTCCTGGCTCTTTTCCTTCCATCCTCTTCCCTGATCCCTGTCCTCAAATTGCTTTTTCCTCCCCCCATCACTCTGAGTTGGCTGAACTTTTCTTCCTTAAGTCTTTTATTTCTTTTTTAAAAAGCTGATTGTGACTGAGAAAAGTAATGCCTCACCCACAGGTGGCCTCTGAGCTTCATGCATGGGAATCATTTGGGTGCTAGTTAAAAAAGTATTGGAATATCACCTACCTCTGCTGAATCGGACTTTCCTGGTTGGTAACTGGGAATCTGCATTTTAAATTTGGCCTCAATCTTAAACAAGTTGGGAAATCTCAGGAAAGTGAAAAACAAATCCTGTTCTGCCCAATAATGATGTGTATTGACTCCAACAGGAAAAGAGAAAACCTTACTCATGGCAAAACAGTTTAAATATTCTCATCCTCAGTACGGATTTTGACTCTACACCTCCATCCTCCAATGATCTAAGCCTGCCCTTGGGAGATGAGTGTACATGAGTTTAATCTAACAGGAAATACTCGGTGTCATCTGCTCACTGTTAGAGCTAGGAGAAGGGAATGTCAACCAGGGTGACAAGGTTAAGTGGCTCCAAAAAGCTATCTCTGGAATACAGCAATTATGATGCCAAAAAAAAAAAAAAAAAAATATGATGCCAGTTAGCTCTGGTTTCAACTTATAACTCCTTATTTTAAAAGTTGCTGTTAAGTTGATTCTGACTTATAGCGGCCCCATGTGTGTCAAAGTAGAAATGTGCTCTGTAGTGTTTTCAGTGGCTGATTTTTCAGAAGCAGATCACTAGGCCTTTCTTCTAAGGCACCTGTGGGTTCATTCAAACCACCAGCTTTTTGGTTGACAGCCAAGTGCTTAACCATTGCACCACACAGGGACTCCATAATTCCTTGTATAACAAGCAAAATTTACATTGAATCCACTCTGGTCAATTTGACAGAACCTTAGAGGAGAAATGTTAAAAACACTTCTCACAGGCAAGTGTGGATCAATCTTTGTTGGGAAGCTTTTGAAAGTGTTAAGAAAGAGGCATACAGTTTATATTTATAGAAAATACTTAAAGACTTTCATTTTGACAGTTCTTCAAGTTATTAGCCTACCAAAGGTGCCACATCTCGTGGTCAGGCTCTGCTTACACTGGGGGTGGAAACATCACAAAGGAAAGTCTACCTGGAAACAGGGCCACCCTTAACTTTTGTATGTTTTAGAGCAAGAGTACATATGAAGACCCGCATAGTATGAAGATCCACCTACCATTCATCTAAATATTTAGAAGTTATGACGCAAGCTAAAAAATTGATTTTTTTTCACTTATGCATAATTGTTTATTAATACTTACTGAGCACCTATTATTTTCAGTACTATCCTGGGCAAAAGGGGTCCCTGAGTGGCACAAATGAGAGGAAGGAGTGGAATATGATTGTTCCCTGGCTTGTAAGGTGATTACTCTTCTCCCTCCTTTTCTTACTTCACCAAATAAGTCAGACCAGTACTAACACAGGAGGGTGTAGAGGAAGGGTGGAGGGAGGAATGTGACCTGGCATCTGTTTCTGTTTTTTGAGAGTCAGGAAGGCAAGTAAAATGTTGAATGTTTTATCCTCCTTCCTATCTTGTAAATCTTTATAACAACAAGATAAAAAAAAAATGTATAGCCATTCCCCTGGGTCACTACTAGGGATTTGTGGCTTGGCCAGCCCAGTTGGTGACACCAGGGCCCAGGGTGATCTCATTGGATGACACTGTATTCAAGTGGAGAAGTTAAAAATCACCAGTAATTGGACAAATCAACATTGTGTGCCTCCTGATATGATGTGCTGAGAAGAACATAACATCACTTCCTGCCAAAGTTATATAACCTAAATCCAGTCATGATGAAACAGAGAAACCCAAATTGAGGGGTATTTTGTAAAGTAACTGGTCTGTACTCTTCAAAAATGACAAGGTCATAAAAGATAAGGAAAGACTTAAGAACTGTCCCAGATTGAAAGATACCATAAAGACAGGACAACTGAATACAATGTGCAATCTTGCTTGGATTGCATCCTGGATAAGAAAAGAAAAAGGGGAAAACGAAGGCTTTTTTTTTTCTCCTTTCTTTTTTTATTTTTGGTACTAAGGCCATTGTTGGGACAATCAACAAAATTTGAATGGAGTCTGTAGATTAGATGGTAGTAATGTGTCGTTCTTAATTTTCTGATTTTGATAGGTTCACTATGGTTATGTATGAGAGGGTTCTTGCTTTTTAGAAGTACACACTAAACTATTTTGCGGTACTAGGGCATTATTTCTATAACTTAGCCTCAAATGGTTCAGGAAAAAACTATGTATGTATGAATATACATGTATGAATTACATATATGTATGTGATTGATACATATATGCATATATATATGTGAAGAGAAAAGGCAAATGTGTTAAAATGTCAACAATGGGGGAATCTAGGAAAAGGGGATATGGAACTTCTTTGTACTGTTCTTACAACACATCTGTGATTTTGAAATTATTTCAAAATAAAACATTAATTCCTGCTGAAGTGGAAAATATTGCTTTATTATTTGAAATGAAAGTGAACTCAATCTTATCAAACATGTCAAACAAATATTACAAATAGAAAATAAATAAGCGGTTATCAGTTCTGGAAGTGATGATTTAATAGCAATATATGAAAATATCTCTAAGATGTTACCCATATATTATGATTTTGAGGTACCTACTTAATGCCCAAATCAGCTGATTATATATTAAAACCATCAACCCTCATAATTATGATAAAAAATATGTTGTTATTTCAAAATGTTTTCTTCTTGTAATTGGTTTTTACTTTTCATGAGTTTATGGTTGTACACTAAAGGATGTGGTAAGTAGGGTGAACTATTTTTTTGCTTAGATCCTCTTTATAGATATTGATCCATTGGAAAAATTTTGAACACTTTTAATCTGTACTTTTAGCTAGGGGAAAAATAGCTCTGAATGAAAGAATAAACTTTGCTTCTTAAAAAATAAGGTATATGAATGAGACATAACCAAATACCTCGTGAGTTTGGTTTTCTGGGTTTGAAAGCTTATCACCATAGTCTCATGGGACAACTCTGTCAATTGGCATAATATAGCTCATAAAGATTATGTTCTGTTCTACATCCTAGTTTGGTGAGTAGTATTTGGAGGTCTTAAAAGCTTGCTAGTGGCCATCTAAGATACAACTATTGGTTTCTACTCATCTGGAGCAAAAGAAAAAGAAGGAAACCAAAGACTCAGAGAAGAAACTAGATTACAGGACTAATAGTCTACATTAACCACAACCTCATCTATCCTGAGACCAGAAGAAGTAGATGGTCGTGGCTACCACTACCAACCATTCTGAGCAGGGCCACAATAGACAAATCCTTACAGAGTGAGAGAAAAGCATGGAACAGAACTCAAATTCTTAAAAAGTCCAGACTTACTGAACTGGTTGAGACCAGAGGATTCCCAGAGACTATCACCCTGAGATACTTTTTAAACTTTAAACTGAAACTAGCCTCTGAGGCTACCTTTAAGCTAAATAACAGAGTGGCTCATAAAATAAAGAATATAACTTGTGAGTACTGTGCTCCTTTAAAAAATCATCTATATGAGGCCCAGGACCAGATTAAGGCTCCTGAGGGCCCTAAGCACTGATGGTCTGTGGTGCCCCCTCCTCTGGTTATGCACACATTCAAACAGTGTATGTGAGTTATATATATATATATATATATATATATATACACATGTATATATATGTATTTATGTATATCATTCATTACGTATATATCATCATATATATATCAAAGGTTAACGAATTTTCCACTAATCTTGATGCCACATTCTTCTTCATATAGTCCACCTTCTTGGCTTATTTGCTCAGCATACACATTGAATAAGTATGGTGAAAGGATACAACCCTGATGCACACCTTTTCTGATTTTAAACCACTCAGTATCCTGTTGTTCTGTTTGAACAATCGCCTGTTGGTCTGTGTACAGGTTCTGCATAAGCCCAATTAAATGTTCTACAATTGCCATTCTTCACAATGTTACCTATAATTCATTATGATCCACACATTGGAATGCCTTTGCATAGTCAATAATGCATAGGTAATAAAATACAGGAGAGCCAGAAATACGTGTGTGTGTGTGTGTGTGTGTCTGTGTGTGTGTGTGTGTGTTTGTGTTCAGACAGAACCAGGGGATACTGTGTGGTTTAAAGTCAAGAAAGGTGTGGTCAGGGTTGTATCCTTTCACCGTGCTTA